TATGTTCTTGATGCAGCTGTTTTCGCCATCCTCCTTTCCCAGCCATTGCCTCACCTTTGACCCCCAACTCCGATTGATCAGCAGGACACGCGTATGGCACGCTTTCACAATACATAATTTGGGCTTTTAGCACTGCCCCAGCTCAATCGACAATTATGAAACAAAGCTAAGTCTAGAGAATTATGTGCACTTGGAAATTATAACAAATAGCTTAAATACTCCCTTAAACTGTTAGTTTTTATTTAAAATATTTGATTAACCACTAGATTTGTTATGAATAACATTTTTTAGAAAACGATTGAATACATAAGTGTTGAAGCACACTTATATATTATATAAGACAGAAATTAGATGATTACATTGCTACTCAAGCTAAGAGGCTGATGCCTAGTAGTATTGAATTTAATACATTTTCCCTCAGTGCATGTATAAATAATAGTCGCTTGGGCACATGTACATACACATATCCCACAGGGCTAAGCAACGCCATAAATAGGGTATTTATGTTTAACCACCACCCCGACTTCGCCATTTTGGGATGGGGATGTGATTCGGATTTGGTGTGGGTTACGGATTCAGTTTTTGGTTCCAACGGTGCACGATTTGGTGGCCATTTTTAGCGGCACTGCCACTAAAAATAACAGAAAACCAAAATAGCAAATATTGAAAAGGGGAAAGGGGTTAACAAGGGTTTCCACTCACCCAAAAATATGTGCATATTACTCGTACTCGGGGGGTGGCAAACATGTTGTGGGTGCTTGGTTGATTGGAACGCGTCCGGGGTGCCCAATGGCCACATGCAGGATCCGATGCGATCCGATGATTAGCAATCCACCCCCGCCAAGTCAGCATCCTTTGATGAGCTGTTGATTGCATCTGTAAAAGCCGGCGCCCACATCCAGGCGTCGAAACTCGCCGGCTACTTTTTTCCACAACTTTACGCATTTTAATTATGAAAATCGCCCGGGCTGGGATCGGATCAGTACCGGGTACCCGGATCAAGGGAACCGAGCCAGCATCTGTGTGTGGGTTAATTATGAGCGGCGATCCTTTCGACGTCTCAAGCGTGACGTCATGTGCGAGCCACCTTAAGGATTTGTTGAACAGCCGATAATTTATTTCTGTAAACAGCATTTCGCTGGAATTGTGCCTGGAATGACAGTGAGAGGGAGAGCATCCTTTCACCTCGTCCAACAGCTGACCAGCGTTCGTCCTGCGAGATTGAGGTGGGTGTAGCGAATCCTTAAGTGGTCAACGCCGCTAACGAGCACCAAGGATGTGCTGGCCATCTGAGTTTTGGCATTCGACCAATTTATGTGTTTTTGCCTGGCGGTAAATTACGACAGACTTCTGAGACGCGTGGCCGGTATCTTGAAGATACTAGCTGTATACATTATTATTATTTAATTTAAAAATTATATTTCTCATACGTATATAACAATTTATAAATAAATGATACACAACAAGATAGAATGCTAAAGTCGAGTTCCCCGACTATCAGATACCCGTTACTCAGCTAGTGGAAGTGCAAACGAGAAATTTAAAAATTTTCTGGAATATCGGTAGAAATTAAATTGAAAAAAATTAAAAAAAAAAAATGCACTTCTACATTTAAATGCAGATATTTAATCGCGCCAGAAATATTTACATGAATGCCACTTCAAAATCCGATTAAGATAAGTTGGGTTTAGACTTTAGAACTTCAGCATTGGGACATTTTTTAATTTTTTTGAATTTCTTCACTATCATAACATCAAAAAAATTACAAGAAAAATAAAAAAAAAGTAAATTAAAAAGTGAATTATAACCTTTTACTCTACGAGTAACGGGTATAAAAATTATAAAATGAGTTAATGGTATGTGCTGCACGAGAACGAATTATTCAGATGGAAATGTTACTGAGACCTAGTGAGTATGGAAATTTCGATAAAGCATAATTTTCGTTCTATTCTAAAATACATTTCAAAGGAATTCACATTTAAAAGCAACCCCAGCCCAAACTAAAATATCCATTCAACTGCCATTATGTATGCCCACCATGATAGTTAATCATTCTAGTCGACAATAATTCCACTCAGCCGCAAAATTCCAAACGCAATTCAAAGGCAAAAACCAAAACTAATTGCACTGTATCAGTTGATGAATATGCAAAAGTGTAGAAAATTAAAGCCGTGTTGAGTATATATCTATAAGATAATAATGATGTTGATGGTGGTGGGGCTTATCGTATAAACTGAATAGAGAATGTAGATCCATGAAGGACACACCGGTCCATGGGGGAATAAACAAAGCGGATAACTAAGGAAAACTCGCGACAGCAAACAGCGAAAGTAACAAAACAATTTTTACAGTTCGGCAAACAAAATGCGTCCATCGTGTCCACTCCGCATGTAAATGGATGGGTAACACACAAAAAAAAAAAAAAATACGAGGAGATATAGGAGAAAAACTCCGAGTGGGATGGAAAAAACATCTGCCCCTGATGGCACTTTAGTTAACGAAAAACAACAAAAGGTTAAAAATATATGCAAGCGGACTCCGGCTTCCCAATGTCCTATGCCCAATACCAAATACCATCCAGAGTTCCATACCCAGTCCCATTCCACTCCATCGATAATGTCCAGCATCCGTTATGAAGAGACCGAAAAAAGAAGGAAGTTGACAACAGCGTGTGCCTCACTGCCTGTGAATGTGAGTGTGTGAGTGTGAGTGTGCGAGTGCGAGTGTGGGGGTTGCACAGATACGATACGCGTGTCCTGGGAGTCCTGCAGCCTGCCACATACCATATTTGCACTATAGAAAGTCCAGCCGCTGGACTCGTTCGGTCAGTTTGCTACAAACAATGCCGCCTTTCGTGTGGGCCAGTCGGTTGAATTCCCGATTTTGGCATCCTTTCCTTTCTGTTTGCCCTCGAAACACATCCACCAGATGCCATCGTCGCCAAGTCAACAGTGAAATCATAGATGCCTGGGAGAGTCCCAAATCGAGGAAGGGTAAACTGAAAGATTCAATCAGGGGCACTCTTTAATTGATAGGAACCATCGCTAATTCTATCTTATTAAATGGCTGACTCATTCAAAGCTGCGACATTGTTAAACTAAAGATCGGTATAGATATAAAAGTATCTCATACGATCTACAAATCACATTTCTTAGCATGGCTAGGTAGGCAAAATATGTTAAGAAATTATTACATAACTCATATGTATTTGACGCTGATCCTATATGCAATATTTTATTCATCATTTTCCCCCGTGAAAATGAAGGGAACCCTCCCTAATCGAGCCATCAAAACCAATCAAATCGTGGCCAAAAAGTCAAAGCAACGCCTATTGCACAATCCAAATAGAGGAAATTTCACGCAAAAAATGCGATTACCACCAATAAAAATAGCACACAAAAAACACTCCTTAAAAACTAGCAAAAAATCGAACCCCAAACTACCCAAAATTGGAATTCGGGGTGGGTACGGATAGCAAACCACCACCGCCTCATAGAGGGTTGCAAAATAAAAAGGAACCGAATGGAAAACAAAAATGGAAAGAACCATTTGGCAAATAGTTTCAATGGATCGATATTCTCTTTTTTTGCGGGGATTGAGGGATGAACTCGACATGTGAATAAAAAACAGGTAAGGTAAGGTTCTTTTTGTAAGAGATACTTTTTTTAGCAACATGTGTTTGGTGCGTTTGAATAGATTCGGGATCTGGGAATCCTCTATATTTGGTTTGGATAAATCGACTTATTGGTCTTTTGTGCCGGGTTCGAAGTGCAAATGTAAGCTGTAGCGAGATGGAGTGTAATGTGAGCAATTAGAGGACCCCGAATATGATGTATCAGTATCAGGACGAAGGACGAAGAATATGGGGGAGTATCATCGGTCTACAGGTGCTAAACGATACTCCCGATGCAAGTTGTCAGCACTTGAATGCTAGATGCTAGATGGGCGGATATGTGTCTCCAGTTTCCGTTGCTGGTCCATCGAGGAATCAAGTTCGTGGCAGCCCAGAGTCCTCCCTCCGCCCCTTTGGCTTGTGTCCTCGATTGAGGACATCTGGCAATTGCATGATTCACTCTCATTTTCAGCTGCCCTTCCCCCATTTTATTTCCCCCTTTTACCCTGCAGGTGCTCATCCGACATCCATCAATAATTTTCGATGTGCGACTACTATTTGGCAAAGTGAAGAGGCAAAATTACTGCCTCGATTTACCAAGGGCTTACTTGCATTTTTCAGCTGGTCATTGTGGTTGACAAAAAGGATGTCGTTTCGCTTTTCAGAATGAGGGGAACTGATTTTCCTTTTGCTTTTCTCCGGAAAAATTGCAATAATTTTTGCTCTTGCCAAAAACGATGGGAGTAACATCTGAATAAAAGGTGTTAAAAATTTTGCTTCAATGGTGAACCCTTTTCCATTATCTCGGTTTTCTTTTGGTGGTTACTCTGAGGGTTCCAAATGTTGCTAATTGGAACAGCTGCTTTTCATTTAATATTTTCAAAAAGAAATATTATTTGCCAAAATTTATAGAAATAAGCAATCAATCATTGATATAGAAACACATACGATTGATTTCCATATTTGAAAACATCTCAGATTCACCAGCTCATACGAAACTTAAATTCTTAATAATTCGTATGGGTACCAGGCAATTAGAATATAAATTAAATATGTAGTTGCCTACGAAATAACGTAGTTTTAACAGACTTCTATTCAAGTTTTCCACTCACTCACTCCTTTCGTTTCACTGAACTTTCCCCCTTGGGCCCTACGCCATTTTGAAGTTTTTCCTGGTGAGGAAAACTCACCCTTTTCCTGGCTTCAAACTCCATTTTATGCCTTTGTGCTCAGCCACACTTCATAACCGTTTGTTGGTTTTATTTTTAAAAGTGTCGCACTCCAGTCCCCAAAATCTAGCCCCTCTCATCGACTTTCGGCGCAATTTAGGGGGCGTAATAAAAACAAAATGAAATTAAGGCGAGTGCACCCTTGAAAAGTGCCCGAAATGTTTTCATTTATTTTTGGATGCCCCCTAGGACGTTTCCCCCCATTTTCCATTTTCCATTCCGAGGGGCCAATCACCGCGAAGGGATTAGAGGCTCTTTGGGCGTGTGGCACCACAAGATCTTTGTCATTGAACTTGAAAAAGTGCCGAGGAGTCGAGGAAACGTGCCGCAGACAACTGGCGAGTCGACCCTTTCATCGCATTTTGGGCAATCCGACATGAATAACCCGAGTGTGCATCCAAAAATAAATAAAACATACTCACGCCATCCATCGGAACCCTTTTCCCTTTCCCCTTTGTATCTTTTTATCTCTCGCCTGTTGCATCATCGTCCTCATCATCGCCATTGGATTTTACCCTCGTCAAGCATCGAGTACGAGCTCTCAAATTAACCACCAATAAAAAGGCAAACACTTCATAAAATTAAAAAAAGGGAAGGGAAAACAACTTCCGTTTTTTCATTGTTTTCCCCTCCGGATCCTCGATCCCTCGCCTGTTGCTCCCTCGGATATTTTTTAGGCCATTTCGTAATCGAGGAGTCGTTGGGTAAACACCCTTAATTTGATTTTTAGCGCCACTTAACAGGAGGGCACTTTTTTTATCCATGCGATATGCATATGGGGTGAGTTCTTTTTGGGGTGGGTAAAAAACAAAGGCAGTTCAAAAAAGTTGACATGGTAATTGGTGTATCGGATGCCCGAAATGAAGCCATTATTATGTAATTGACTTTATCGGATATTGGAGGGCAAGGGAGTTTTTGAGGGGCGTGGTTTGCTGTGGGAAAGGTCGGATTTTTTTAAAGGGAGTGTTTTTTATCGGCCGGGGATTTATTGTAGTATTTTACTTGTAGTCCTTATTGAGTAATTATGATTATTGTGAATGTCTTACGTATATTCAAATATTGCATGGTGACTCATATTTTAAAGCTAGCTCTTATTGAATATGAATTGCTTGTTATTATGTATAATTTATTTGCATTTTTATGCACACTGGAAATCGAATTGCAGTAATCTTAATGGAATTCAATTTCCCCTCTTAGGGTTCAGTAAGCAAAAGTAAGCAAATCCTAGATCTCTTGGCATACTTCGGCCTCATCAGCTGCAGGCTGGGCCATTGTCCGCATAATGAATTCATCACATCGAATGCTGATCCTGGCTGCGATCGCAGGACTCGTCGATTGCCGAACGAAGGGAGCCCGACAATTGAAGTGCAGCGAGCGGACGCAAATGCACAAAATTCAAATGTCATTCAAATAGCGGCTGTCAGGACAATGGCCACGCACGCGGTCAGGATCGAAGTGGGAGTAGGAGTCGGAGAAGGAGAAGGAGTCGGAGTATATGGCATACAGGCGAAAGGTGGTTGAGGTCCTGAGAAGGATATTCGAGGAGTGGGAGAGCTACCAGGCACGCCTGCATCTCATTTAGGGACTTCGGCAAATCTCTTCTCTTCTGTTTCCCTCTTTTTAATGCACTTTACAAAAATAGGGGGAATAGGGGAAAATAATAGGTATAAGTATTATTTTAAATATACCAAATGTTTTTGTTTCACCTTTAAAATTATTCAACCTAAAGAAAAACTATTTTACTGATTTGTCGTAACCGTAAAACGTCTTGTTACAGTAGCCCCATACTTGCTCACATTCAAACGTTCGTTTCTCTGAGTGCATGGCAATATCCTGGCACAGGATACATGTGCGTATATTGTTATTATTTTCGAGTTCCATCCGGTTTGGCCTCAGCTGACTGACAGCCAGCGGCCGACGGCTACAAAAACAATCCGCACTGAAGCCTCCAGTCAAAGGCGACGATGATGAGGACAAAATCGGACTGCCGGGTGAGGCATCAACTTCGCTTCCTTTCCGCCAAACCACAACAGATCCCCCATCGGTCCGTTCAGGTTTCCCTGCCGATAAGCGTGACATTTTCATACTGCCAGCGATCTCAATCTGAGTGCTCAATCAGAATTCAGATTTCCAGTCAACCATGCGTCCCATTCATCCATTCTGTTGCAGCTTTGCCATTTCTGAGGCCAATCACACGCCGACAGGATTAGGAGAAGTGCTGTTTTTCTTGCTTTTTATCTGGGCTAATTGGACCGCTCCGCACATTGTCTTCTAAGCGGACAGCCATGAAATCAGAGTCCGATCATCCGATGGGCCAGCTCTGATACTCGTACATGTCTCTTAAGATCCATTCTTACCTGGCTTTCTTTTCCAGGGGCGTGCAATTGGCGTTAAATTAGAGCTGACATTTAGCTTGAGGAGCGAAAGAAGGGACTTTCTTCTTTGACCTTGGATTATCTCTATATCTAAGCAGGCTCTAAGTAGCCTGCACATTATTTGGTTACTGAAAGCACGACTACTTTCAAACTCATTGATGGAGTTCATATGGGCAGAGGTTCGATATCAGCAGCTGCTTAAAGAGTATGTGGAACCCCCTTTCCTTGGGGGCACTACAAATTTCCTTCGGCTGAAAAATTAAGCAAGAACTACCAGAAATTAGGGCATGACTCCATAACTCGCCAGTCGGGAGCCAGGGCAGATGTCAAACTGCTAAAGATCACACTAAACACCAATATCGCCCAAGGAGCTCAGCTCATTTGAATGAGGGCTCTCGGTTCCCGGGAAAGCAAACAAATTCCGATCCTCAAGTCCCAAAGGAGCAGACATAAGAAAATCATTTGTTGCGGAAGGGGAAGGACTCCAAGGGATCAGCGCTGAGTCAAATGCCAAGCGATCCGTTCGAAAAATCTGAATGTCGCGTGTTGGCGCGTAAGATTTGTGTTTTCCTGGGTCGACGTCTCGGAAAAATCGAGGTCACGCGAAGGATCGGAGGTCGGGACTCAAGGCATCATAATAGGCTCATTTCCTTGCCTGCTCCTTTGGCTCCTGATTTTCCCCGAGCGTAATGGCGTAAACATTCAAGGGGAGCGTGCGCTGCGCACGCGCAACATTGCCTCACCCTGCGACCCGCCGAGTCCTCGGTTCTTCAATTCCTTGCCCTTCGACCCAACGACCCTAACCTCATCCCGATTTCAATCTGCGCACCATTGTTCGATTTCCTTGAGGATTTGCGCGTCTTATGATTGATTCGGTGCTTTGTTGTACGATTGTTGTTCCCATGATTTCTCCACGTCCACGATCACAATCTTGTGGCATTTCGTTTGGTGCATGATGAATCTTTGATGCATTTTCGTGGGTGTAGCGTTTGGTTTGAAGTCGGGGGTGGGCATCCTCCATTTGACAAATACTCAATTCATCTTTCTTCCTAACGGTCGGCTGAATGAAAAGCGGGGAAAAGCTGAAGCGAATGAAAAAGTATCTTTTAATGATGCATGGAAAATGGTGAATAACATTCAAAATATAACAATACATTAATTCAAAAAGTAAAAAACTAAACTAATAATGGAATACATACAACTTAAAGCACATATTAAAATATAACTTTGAAATCATACATTTCTTGGTTGCATCCATTGCGAACACATGATATTGCGGCAGCAGCAACACATGATGCATGTGGCACATTTAGCACCTCCAATTCATAATGAATGAGTTAAGAGCATCAACAAACGAAGCACGAACATATAGGCGTGGGACTACCGAACATCGAACCCCGACACGGTATGGATTGGGATTGGAAATCTGGGTTGCCGCCGGAGGTGCTTGTTTGCCACGCCCGCATCTTGCAGGACATGTGTTAATCAAGCGGCAGCCTCAGCAGCGCATAACTCAGTTGCAGATGGACTAATTTTGGTGTAAGTCGGGTAATAAAGGAGGGACAAACCCAAGACAGCTGCCCCGAAGGACTAAAAATAGTTGGTGGCAAGGTGCAGGCTGCCTCACAATTTATGTGACAGAATTCTCATGTTTGCGCTTAATTTTTGTTTAATTTTTATGGGCGCCAAAAGAGGAGACGTCTGCTGCTGGAATGCCAACGGCAATACCCGGCCAATTTTGGCCATTTATACTGGCCGTATTCAGATAGAAACAATGAGCTGGACAAAGAAGGTAACATGAGCTAAAAAACCAATAGAAGTAACAAAATGTGACAGGCAATCGGAAGAAGACAAACAAATGGAGAATCCAAAGAAAAGCGCAATTGTTGCAGAATGACAATTGAATGCAATCCGGAAATGTCCTGCGTGGACAAGGATCGATGGCCATCACCCAAGTGGATTCTTTTTTGCCACTCAAAGAGTGAGTAAAAGAGAAATCTGCTCCCGAGATCCTCCTAGAACATAAATCCACCCCTTATTTAAGACTCAACTCCACTCATATTGAGTTGAGATCGCTTCAGATTGAGTGAATACCTTTTGAGATACATTTCCTTTGATTTCTAAACCCCAGGAGTTTTCCGCATAGGGTCAAACTTGACCTCTAAGACGACCTCAAAGATGCGAGTTGAGAGAAGCGCGCGCGTTGCTCCTTTTGTGTCCTTTGCTCGCATCCTTCGGGTCATCTTCTGACCTTTTCCTTTTTATTTTTTTTGGCACCCGCTTGCCCTTTGTCCTTTGCCTCCGGGATCGTTGACAAAAGAGCTGGGGCATTGCAATAAATGTGATAAAGATTGTTTTTTGTCTCTCTGTGCAATTGCTTGGACACCGTGCCATAAATTGCCCGTAGACCGGTGATCACTGACCTATGATCTGGGCTATCGTTGATCATCGACTAGGGGTTTTGGTTTGCACGGAAATGCCTTGAATGATGCCTTAATTGTGACATGCAGCTGGAACCGTCGGGTTCCATTGAACTGACCCTCAATTGTGGGTGTTTAACGAATGTTTTGCGCGACTTTGGGCGCAGTCTGATAATTTCTACACGTGTAACACCCTAATTTATTGCATCTCTATAGAATAAATCTCGTGGATGATTTACGCACTTTAGTAACTCACTTTTACTTCTCTAGAACATCTTGCATTGCACCACTGTCATACTAAAGAGAACGACCACTAAATCTTGCGAAGCGAATTACTCGTGTCAATTTAAATTATAATATTTTACACCATGAGTTTGTTTCTGACAGATTGAGCCAGTTATCAGTAGATCTCGAACGTTACTGGTGGTTAGTCCAATGAAGATCAGCACAAAACTGTTTGGAATTATACTTTTAGCAAGGCTCCTTAAGGAGGTTGGTACGTACCTAAGTATCTACCTACATATGTCTATGGTAACAATCACGTTCTCGATTAAGATGGAAAAGGAGAAATTTCAGAGCTGGTAAGGCTTAAAACTAAAGCATCTTCCAATCACAACATAATAAATATATATTTTTTTAAAGGAATCTCTGTCTAAAACGGATGCAAAGTACACTGCCTTACTGAAGGAGATAAATTCCACTTTTCACAGTAGACCGCACACAAAGAAAAATGCAGAATTCGAAAAGAATTTCCAAACAATTTTAATTGCTTTGAACTTAAGCATGTACGACATAGCGACCAAAATTGATATCTACACTGATTTTACAGTTTATAATCAAATCAGAGTAGAACTCGACAGGCAAATATTTAAAAAGCTACAAGTGACGGAGAGACTTTTGAAGCTGGAAAACCTTATACCAAAGTGTCGTATTTTTTTTTCGATTCAGCAGTCGCAACTTATCGCAAGTTTCAATCAATCGAACCTAATGAAATTGGAAATATTGCATGATCCGAGTCCAGAGTGTGAAAATGTTGAGCTACAAAAACTTTTCCGCGTGCCAGCTTCAACAACTACCAAGCCCCAAAACTATGATACAGAGATTCAAAAAATTTTGGTAAAATACAACACGCGTCCATGGGGAAATAAAACGTATAAGGAGTTCGACGAAAAAATATGGACCCTTTTTATGGCCATAAACAGCGAAGAGCAAAAATTTAAAAAGGAGGCATTAGACACATTCAAAAAATATGACGATGATCGCGCCATATTAGACAAAGCACTGGCACACCGAATTGGTGAATTCACAACGCAAATAGCGAATGAAAAAAATCCGTGCAAGGTCAACCTAATTCGCTTAAAAAAAGAACTCGGACGTGCAATGTTTGCAACCATTCAGAAAAAGCACGATAGTTTACTCGAAACGAACTATGTAAAATCTTGCCTTAATAATGAAAGGAAAATTTACAAAAGCAAACTGACTTAACATTGCAAATTTCAGATTGGTTTTGTTTAACTTGTGCTGTCTTACTCTTAAAATAATTGCAAAGGAATCAAAAATTAAAAAGAAAAACAAAAGACCACACTTAAGTATTTAAGTATTCAACTGCTTTATCAAATTTTAAAACGTATTCGAGTACTACAATACAATTTTTAAACTTCGTACAAGTTATACCTTTCTAATCAAAAACTCTTTCAGTACTTAGTTCATTTTTACAGACTACTATTTTATATTTATAGACTAATTTATGTTTGGCTGCCTCGACTGACTGACAATTGCTTTCGCATTCGAGCTTGCGCCTCAACTGGCCAGTTCTTTAGTTCCACCTTGCCACAAGGCAAGCAAAATGAGGATGTATAGTAAAAACTGCAGCCAGTATCCTTGCATACGGATTTGGAGCAGATGGAGCACTTAGTCCCCAGTGTGATATAGTATTCCGGCTTTGCCTGCCAACGAGGTGGAGGCGGCTGGAAGGGATCACGCATCACATAGTTATCCTCCGGGTACTCAACTCCTAGAGCAAAAGGCGGCTTCCGGCCAAAATAATGGACCATCTCGTGCATTTCACAGCCAGAGCAGTTGAACTCGATGCGTGCTGTTCGTTCATCCTCCTCCTCGGGATCAATAGGCTTCTTTTCCTCTTCGGGAAGCCCAATTCGTTGTATTTCCGCTGCCTCATCTTCCAGAACGAGCTCCTCATCATCATCCAGGATTGACATTTTCTAAAAGACCAATAGAAAAACATAGAACTGGGCATCTTTTACGAAGACTAGTTACATATTTACTACACTTATAACAATGGTATATTAACAAATAGTTGGTCAAATCAGTTCGTAAGTCATTCAGCGAACGCCATACGACGCTTTCCAGGCAGATCCTCCGGCCACCATTCCGGACGTTCAACATAGCACCGCTCGCCATCGATCATCAGCTCCGGACGGCCGTTGAGAACCTTCTCGATTCGCAACAGTGCAACACCATGCTTGTGCGCAGAGCCAAAGACGCGTCCAAGTTTCGCTCCAGCCACAGAAGTTACATCCTGGCTGGAACCCAAATCAATAGGAGCCGTCAACCGGATGGGCATGTATCGCTTGCGGATCACGCCCGAATGATGAACGCGGGCAGTCAACTCCTGGCCCACATAGCAGCCCTTTTGGAAGCTCACGCCATGCAGGTAATCCGCATTTGCTTCGAGAGGAAAACATTTTCCCGGAGGCAGTTCCGAGCAGCCCTCGCCCACTCCTTGCTTATAGCGCAGCAGTTGATAATTATTATCGGGAGAGGCTGGTGTGGCGGTACCGAAGTCAACAAAACATTTGGACAGCTTGGCCCAGTCCATGTCGGTCGGCGCCAGGATGCGTGTGCCAAGGACAGGCAGCCTCGGGTCGAGGGACACAAATAAGTCTGGATGTGGATTGGGTACAGCCTCCGAGGCGTCCTTTAGGTTGAACATCACCCAAGTGGTGTACTCGTCGTCCACACTGTCGACCTCAATACGCCTGCGAACGCGGTAAGTGCGCAGGTGGCGTCGAAAGTCCGAGGAAGCCTCCCGATCGCACTCAACTAGGATGGTTTCTGGGTTGTTGGTGCGGTACATGATTGTGTCATACAGAAGCCTGCCCGCCTTGTTGAGGAAGTGGGCGTACATTGAGGCAGGACCTCCCGGCGACCGAATCCGGGCCACATCGTTGGTGGCCAGCCCCTGCAAGAATGGCACCACCTCTTGTCCGTGGACGCGGATGAGTTCCCGGTTGCCCAGTGGCTCCAATGTGAAATTGCGCTGACTTAGACCCACCGGACGAGCGTACGGAATCCTCATCTCGTGGAGATTACGTATGTGGTGGCGCACGGCGCGCAGAAACCACGGATTCGAACATCTATTCATGCTGCAAAATGGAGGCATCTGTTGCCTGCAATTGGTACTGGAGGTGCCAAAGGAAAGCGCTCTTACCTTGTGCTGGAAATTTGACTTAATTTATTCGATCGATCTAGCAGCAGAAACTTAAATTTGGTACTCAAAACAAAGTCGAGCAGGAGACTGATTTTTCGGCACCCGGTTCATAACATTTGGATTTGACAGTTCGTTGGAGATGACAGATTGATCACATTTGATACGTGACACGAATTGAGGTGCAAAATATATATATCGAAATACACATTGTTGGTGCTCTTACAGTTGCATATGCAATACAAATATTAAGTATCTGCAATTTTTTTTTCCTTTTTTAGAGTTTAAATTTTAATGCACCTTATATTTAATACATCTAAATGTATCGGCACATACCGATTTTTTCTTGTGGCCAAGAAATACTGTCACGCTTCCATCTCCAATCAGCTGTTCCTTATCGTGACACCACATCATCTGGTTTTGCTTGGCTTATTTTAGCACATTATACAGGGAAATTGGTATTTCGTGGCGCTGAGGGCGCAGCCACTCTGCTGAAAACACAAGAAATTTGTTTTAAACAAAACAAAATGAGTCAATACAGCCACGTTAAGTATACACAATCGCCGACGCCGTCGGTGGTTTCTGGCTACTCGAGTGCATCGCGGCTCCATTCACCTCTGCCGCCGCCCGCCAATCACCGGAGGGACTGCCTCTCGGCGACCACCAAGAGCTACAAATACCTGCGACGTCTGCTCAAATTCAATCAAATGGACTTCGAATTTGCTCTGTGGCAGATGCTCTATCTCTTTGTGGCGCCCCAGAAGGTGTACCGGAACTTCAACTACCGGAAACAGACCAAGTCACAGTTTGCCCGCGACGATCCGGCCTTTCTGGTGCTCCTGGTCGTCTGTCTATGTGGTGAGTTCTAACGCCCAAGCATCCAAACACCTGAGTGAAGGAGATCCCATCTTCCTCTTGTTTCATACCAAACCGTTTTCTTTTTGTGAAACGTAACTTATTTCATCAGTGTCCAATAAGATTACTATTGTATTGTAGCCTTATATAGAAACATACCCCATTAAAAAAATCAAGGACAGACCAACTAATAGTTTATAAATCCTTCAACAGTCACTTCCCTGGGCTTTGCGTATGTGCTGGGATTGTCCTTCTGGCAGAGCATCTCGTTCATCTTCTACGTGGTCTTTGTGGACTGTATTTTCGTGGGCATCATTATAGCATCGTTCTTCTGGGCGGTGACGAATCGGTATCTGCGCACAAATAGTCTGGAGCCGGATATCGAGTGGGGCTATGCCTTCGATGTCCATCTGAACGCCTTCTTTCCACCACTGATGCTGCTGCACTTCATTCAGCTGTTCTTCTACAACTGGCTGATCAGCCAAACGTGGTTCATATCGCGATTTCTGGGCAACACCTTCTGGTTGATGGGCATGGGCTACTATGTGTACATCACGTTTCTGGGATACAATTGTAAGTTATATCAGACATCATAAAGTTCTAATAATAATACATTTTCCTCATGCAGGCATTCCGCATCTGAAAAACACCCGCATCATTCTCATCGCCCTGCCCATCATCTTTCTGCTGTTTCTGGTCGTCACAATTATAGGTTGGAACGCAACGATATCCTTTGTCAATTTCTACAAGTATCGCGTATATTAGTAATGTAACGTGCGTTGTAAATTATTCTGCGTTTAGTCGCTAAGCCACTATTCTTCACTTATGACTAATAAACTAATTAATTTAGCGTTATCCAAACCATATAATTGCAATTTCGGTAATTTAGTCCAAGTAGAAGGAATAGAATGGTGATAAACTCTAAAACATTAACCTTTCAACATTTTTTTGAAATTTTTATTCTATAAAATGGACAACAAATGCAATTACGCCAGCTGCTTTGGCTTAATGAAAGTGCGCTTGCGCTTGTTGCGTTTTCGCTGCAGCTCCATGGTGTGCAGTTCCGTGTGCACCTCGGCGAAGATCTCTGTCTGTTCCTCCTCGGCAATCGAGCTGCGGTAGTCCTTCATCATGTCGTACTTCTCCCATGGCTTTTGCACCTTAGCCGCCGACAGGCGATGCTTGTCTTTCAGGTACTCATCGATGTTGGCCACACCACGCAGATTCTGTCGCTCCCAACGCTCTAGCCATGGTCGCGGACGGAGCACCACCTTAATGTCGTTCACCGGCACCGGAGCACCCTCCTCTAGCGGTTCCGCCTCCATGTTCTCGTCAAAAGTACTGTACTCCGGAAGAGCGTCCCGTAGGTAGAAGAGACTGTCATCCAGTCGCTTCTCTAGCCGCAACACCTCGATCTTCTGGATGGTGGGATCATACAGCTCGTAGACCACCTCCATGCCCTGGTGATCGATCACGTTGCGAAGGATAAAGCGGGCGCGCAGTCCACAGCGATCCCTATTGATACAGATGCCAACAAATCGACTGGTTTTCCCTGCAGCATGAGGATCGGAACTAGTCACCGCCAGCACAGATCCGACGTAGAACTCGGGCAGATCGATCTGTTTGCGACGATCCAGCATGTCCAGTCGCTCCAGTTTTTCGCGAACGAGGTTACGCCACTCCACCTTCGGATCGGGCAGGAATTCTGGGTAAACAAACCGATAATTTGCCGGAATGATGGGCTTCCGGTTCACTGGTGGAGGCGGCGTGGTAGGCGGAGCCTCTTTTTTCTGTTCCTCCTGATTTTCAATTACATGTTCCGCAGTTTTGGTGGAGAAGGTGACTGAAAATACGTTTCCTGAATGTGTGGCTCTGGATAAAATGACTTTCCTTACCAATTCGCTTGTAGACACACTGCTGCGATAATCTATTCAGCGTAAATCTCGTGCTCAAGTTCATTTTAATAGCTTTTGGGATTCGCTGAAACAAATGAATGTTTAGATAATCATGCCGCACGATTATCAGCTGGCACCAGCGATGGCGATAGCATAGTTATCGATAGTTTTTCTAATTGGAAGGTAACTGCCAGCTTGTCAGTTTTAAGCTCAGTGCTATAAAACTAATATTCGTTTTTACATCTAAAATATTTTTAAAGCCTTGACTCAAACCATGTCTGATGTATTTAAGTCTTTCTTATCTTTTATCTTTCTTTGTCTATACCAACGAAAAACAAAAGCAAATCCGCCCGCCATTTCAACTCTGTACAACACATGTTTACTTGATTAGAAATCAGAAGAATAAATAATGTAACAATATATAATATATTATATTATATATTTTAATAATTTATAATAAATTCGGTTTAAATATTTTATTTTCATGATGTTAGGGATCAAATCAGCGAAAGTAATTAACAATCTCAGAGGGAATGGAAGGGGTAATAGTAGAAGTAAGTAGTAACTGGGGGAATTCCTGTAGGCGGTAAATGAATGTAGCCAGAAAACGACCGTTTGAGCCTCGTCCCTAATCCTTGAGGATCTCGTTGACGGCGTTGACGACGTGGCGGGCGGAGATACCGAACATATCGATGAGGACTGACGGAGGACCCGAGCGTGGAACGGTGGGCACGTACAAGTGCTTGACCACAAAGTTGCGCTCGCCAGCCAGGGCACTCAGCACAGCTTCGCCCAGACCACCTTGCCTATAACGAGACAAATAAAATCGAAGTTAACGACGGATCTTCATAGAAATACTGCAAAGAACACTTACTGGTAGTGATCCTCCACGACGACCACACGTCCTCCGCACTGCTTGCCGTGCTCGATAATCAGCTCGGCGTCCAAGGGCTTCACGGTGAAGGGATCGATCACACGGACGGTGATGCAGTTCTTCTCCAGCTGATCGGCGGCAGCCAAGCACTCGTACAAAGTGATTCCAGCTCCGATCAGGAGCACCTCGTCAGAGCTCTTTTGGCGCACCACCTTTCCGCGGCCAATGGTGAAGGGTTCCTCGTTGTCGTAGATCACGCAGGTGTTGGGACGGGAAGTACGGATGAAGCAGACACCCTTGGTGTTGGCGGCCAGTTCGACGGCACGCTCCGTGCTCACTGCATCAGAGGGATAGAAGATGGTGCTGCCCGGAATGGTGCGGAACATGGCAATGTCCTCCAGGCCCATCTGCGAGGGACCATCCTCACCGATGCTGCAGCCGCAGTGGGAGCCCACAAAGTTAACGTTCGTCTGTGAAATGGCGCCCATACGGATCTGATCGAATGCACGGGTGAAGAAGGTGGCAAAGGTGGACACAAAGGCCACAGTGCGGCGACGGCAGGCGGCTCCAACGGCCACTCCCACAAGATTCTGCTCAGCGATGAAGCACTCAATGTAGCGCTCCGGGTCAAGTTTCTTCAGCTTGTCGGAGAAAGTAGAGTTCTTGGTGTCTCCGTCCAGGGCAACCACACGCAGGTTATTCTGGCCAATCTTGGCCAGGGCTGTTCCATACGCCAATCGGGTGGCAATGGAATCACCCAGCTTGTAGGCGGGTGGTGAGCTCAACTTAATGTTGCTGATATCCACATCGGGAGCAGCGCCAGTCTTGGGCACCGGCTTGGGGGCCAGCTTAACATTCTTGTTGACAATCAGTCCCTGCAGATGCTTCACCACTTCGGCGGCCTTGTCGCCCAGTGGCTTGCCGTGCCAGTTGTCCAAATCCTCGATATTGGGGAAGTCCCTGCCCTTGAACGTCTTCGCAATGATGGCGGTGGGCTTGTTCTTGGTGATGGCAGCACAATGGAAAGCCTTGGACAACTCCTCGACATCATGACCATCGACAACGACAGCGTTGAAGCCGAAAGCCTCCAGGCGATCCCGGTAAACATCCAGCTTATGCTGCAGGGAAGTGGCCTCCGACTGACCCAAGCGGTTCACATCGAAGATCACGCAAAGGTTGTCCAGTTTGTAGTGGCCGGCAAAGTGCAGCGACTCCCAGATGGAACCCTCAGCGGACTCACCATCACCCACGACCACGTAGGTACGATAGTCAGCCTTGTCGAAGTTCTTGCCCACATAGGCCATTCCAGCGCCGACGGCGACTCCCTGTCCCAGGGATCCGGTGCCCACATCGATGAAGTTCAGACGGGGCGTCGGGTGACCCTCCAGATCGCTGTCGATCTTGCGCAGGTTATTCAGATCCTCGATGGGGAAGAGACCGGCCTCAGCCCAGGCGGCATACAGAATGGGAGCGGCGTGTCCCTTGGACAGGATGAATCGATCGCTGGAGGGATCGCGCGGGTGCTTCAAGTTCAGGCGCAGCTGCTGGAAGAACAGCACGGACATGATCTCGGCGATCGAGGCACATGATGTGGGATGTCTATAAAGGCGAAAAGTAGTCAAAATATTAGATTGTAAAAATACATTGTCTATGTAATTCTAGGTTAAGGCAGGTGCCTATTAAACTAAAAGTCGACCTTAACGTGGGTAAGTGAAGGCCGATGTATGTATAAAGGAAAAGTAGAACTGAAAACTATACAAAATTGTGGAAAACTTTGCTTTATAAAAGAAATCCATTTGTCCATACCAAAGCCCCTATTCGCATTTGTTTTTAAGATTTCTGGAGTATCCAGTTGCAAAGTATAAATAAGATAAGATCCATTCTCAGAATTCAGTGTTCCCATGCGACCGTGTTCCGACAAAAGAGATAAAATCAAAAAAATTTGCTGCGAATCGCAGATCTGGCACAACTCCAACCGCAAAAACCCGCAACCCTAGACAAAAAGGGGGGCTCGTCTTACCACAGACGTATAAATAAACCAAATCGCGTACATAAGTACATACATATGCACGTATCTGGTGTGATTGTTCTATTTGTCCCGATGCGAGTATAATTTCATCGCAATTCCTCACCGGTTTCTGGACCTTGAACTTTTCTGATCCCCAAAAAATCTAAACAATAGCCGTAAAAGCAAGATTCTGGAGTTACACGATGGTGTTGCATGGCGATCTGTGTTGACGCACGTGTTTCTAGATAGTTCCCAAGTGCGTCCCCATTTCCTGCAACCATATCAAGAACTATTGAAGGTGATACCGAGTGTTAGCAGTGACCCGGCCCGCTTATTTTATCAATTTTCAGTGATTTTCGATTATCATGCGGGGAACACACTTGAGCTGGTCACCTCTAATCGGTCATATCGTGGCCAGTGAGTAACCAAACGCGGCTTATCTCGTCGGCAGAGGTCACATTTAGAGCAAACAGAGCAGATCTTATCTTGAACCGTAACGAAAAAAAAAATGGAAAAACAAATGGAGGCGATAAAAGTGTTTTCCTTATCAGCATAATAACTTTTTTATTTACTGTTGCAGTAATAATTTGATCGCGTCTATTCGAGATATAATTACATTAAAAGCCATAAGGTCGTAAATCTCAAGTGTAGGGGATCATTTCATTACTATTCCCATCCCTCTCATTCGATTCCCGTCACAAGCTGTGCTTTCCAACACTTGTATGTATGTATATATATTAAATGCCGCTGTTTGATGTCTAAGTATGTTTGTTTGTACGCCATGTGGCTTTGTGTGTTGTTTCGGCGTTTTGAACGCCACGCACAAAACAAAGCCAAAAGAAATTAAAAGGCAGTAGGAGAAAAAGCTAATTTTCAAGGTTGTCTAAGGTCAAAAAATATGAGTTCACTATTTAAGGTATGTGTACACGTATGTAGGTGAACGCGGCTTATCACTGAGTACGCAAACAGGGCAACAAATTCGCGAATTCACTAAAGCTACTGGACAGCACGTGGTTGGCAACTGAGTCTCAGGAGCAGAAAAGGGGTTACTAAGGAACCGGTCTCCTCCTTATATGTATCTAACCTCCTACATAGATACATAACGATATGCGTAACAGTTTTTATTTTGGTTATTAAGTTGCAAAACAAATACTTAGTCCCCTCAAAAACTTTTTCGCACCCACCCTTGAAATGGAGGGGGTCACCTCTGAAGCAACAAGTGCAAGGTGCACAACTTTTGAAATTCGCAGCTATGAATGTACACACACAAATATAAATATGCACACTTTAATTTGCTAATGGGCTCTCAGTTATTCGATAGCTTACCCCGATTTGGAGGCCTGGGTGGCGTTGATGGAGTGAATGCGCAGCTTCTGGGCCAGATCTTTCAGATCCTGGACAGTCTTAGCTTCGGGCTTGTGGTACGACATCTTGCGAATACGAATGTGAATTGGATCCGAACAAATGCGGTTTTCAATAAGTTGCACAACAACACTCGAAAGTTTCGGATTCGTTAGCCAAAGGGTGACTCCTCTATGTTTGCAAAAGACAGACAAGAGTATCGACGTGGTGGATAAGTAGCTGGAATCGGAGTTGTCAACGGACCACTGCTGCCGGCTTCTGGGAACGAACTGCTCTCGTCGCCGGCACCTCGGTCGCTTTTACGCTGTGGGGGCTCAATCTTGGAAAGCGGACTCGCAAAGTATCGGTATTCGTCTATGTGGAGTCGGACTGCTCTGGTTGCGCTCTACTCGTCGGTGCTGGAACGAGATGGATATATGTGTATGTAGACATCAGCTTGGCTCGCACCCCACCCCCTTATCTGTGCACAGCTGCGGGTGGATAACTAGGTACGTACGAAATGAAAGCATGGTCAAATAGTGTATTGCTATTGCTAACTTCATGCAAGAGTTTGTGAAGCCATGAAGCCATGTAAAGACTGCTTAAATATTTTTAAATTTTAAATGGCATTAGTATTTATTATTTGTTTACATAAGAATTTTTCGCCCTATATATTTGACCGTGAGTATTACAGAGCAGCAGTTTTTAAGAGAAGTACCCTCTCTTCGTAACATTCTTCTTCTCGCTCCTGAACAAAAGGCGAATTTGCCGCCAACGAATTTAGCCTTCGATAGCTCAGTTGGTAGAGCGGTGGACTGTAGTTGGAAAAACGTGCAATAGAAATCCATAGGTCGCTGGTTCAAATCCGGCTCGAAGGATCAGAAGAAGAAGTAGTATTTTTTTATTTTAAATTAACATAATTATTTGTTTATTCTGAAT